TGATTTTAAAAATAAAAACTTGAAATTGCATTAGCATGACTATCTCACACACTACACTTCAAGGATGATTCAAAGATTACTGCTAATATTTGAATAAGGAAGATGAACTTGAATTAGTTGGTTTGATGCTAGCTATGGTTCTTGATGATTTGTTTTCTCGAATGAAATTCTTTGAGGGTCACATAGGGGGAAGCTAATGTTTTTCTTGTTACTTCTTGTTCTAGTTTTCTTTGTTTTGCTCGAGGACTAGCAAAAGTTAAGTGTGGGGGTATTTGATCGGATCATATTTATATATATTTTTACTTCGAATTCACTCGTCTTTTCTTAGTTAGTTCCTTATATTTTTGAGCTATTTACGTTATTTTTGTGTTTATAGGATTTGTTATGCAAAGAAAATAAAAATAGAACAAGTGAAATTTTATGTAATAAATTCGTCAAAACTGTCTGTGTAGATCAGCTTTTAAATAAAATTAAAAAATAATATATATATAATAATAATAACAAGTCATGATGATGTTTGAAACATCATCATGATTCATGTTTTGTAGAAAAAGAAAGGAACGGATGGAGAAGAAGAAAAGAAAGAAAAAAAAAATAGATGAAAGAAGAATAAGAGGGAGCAAGAGAGCATCATGATTTATATTTTTTTTTTACCTCGTTGACTCCCATATTCTTCACTTCTGAAAACAACAGGAAGTTGCTTTGCAGCTGGAAAGAAAGGAATCCAAGGTGGAAACGTGAGGAGTGGAAGGCAGGAGTATGCGGGAAAAGAGGGAATAGAAAAACAGAAAACAAAAAGGCAGCAGCGGGGGGGTCTGGAGAGCGGGAGAAGGGGGAGCTGCCCTTTTTGGGCAGCGTGAGAGTGGAGAGGTGAGGACGTGCAGAGAGAGCAGCATCGGGGAGAAAAAGAAAATAAAAAAAGAGAAGACATGAAGTCAGAAGGAGAGAAGTCAAAGGCTGTTTTTGGGCGAAAAAGAATAGAAATATAGCAGGGCTTTGCAGAGAGAGAGGCAGAGGAGAGCCTCGGCACGGAGAGAAAGCTGCCTGCGCAGCACACCTCGGAAAGGACAGAGCAAAACTCCTTTATCTTTCGGTTTAATTTTTCCAAACTTCTCTTTTATTTCTATTTTTAATAATGTGTAAATAAATTGATTTTGGCTAGAGGTTAATTCAAAGCCATGATTATATCTGTAATATGAATTGATTACCTTCGGTTGTGATTTCATAAGTTGTGATTTCAATTTACTTATCCGTTCGTATAAAAACTGATTTGTGTATGTTGGTTGAGAGTGCACGCTTAATTTACATGCATGAATTTGATGCTAGAATATAAGTGAATTTCACCTAATCGTTATGAACTTATTTTCACAAGTAGTAAAGGTTGCTAGTCACAATCACGTTAAGTAAATTCTTGGCAAGAGTATCATGCTTTTCATAGTTACGAATGCCTCGTCAATGCTTATAGTTTTCACAAAGTTTAATGATCTTTGATTGTATCTCTATTGTGCTTTTCACGTAGGGGACTTTTGAAGAATGTTTTGAATTGTTGTATGCGTTTTCCCGTCCAATTCAATAACTTAAGGAAAACTTGAAGATTAAAAAAGTGCTGTTCACGGTTAATCTGGAGTATTGAAATTCACAATTTATTGAAAGAACAACTGAAAATCAATTTAGGTTGCATATGTGTCATGTGTGGAGAAGAACCCTCTAGCTAGTCCGTCATTTATCATTTTACCTTAATTTTATGTTTTGTCAATTCTGTAATTTAATTAAGTTTAATTTACTTTTCATCAAAACCAAACACCCATCCATTATTAAATTATATTATTTAGTTAGTTTTCTTTATTGTTAGTCTTTTAATTTAATTTCCGTCCATTTCAGTTCCTAGTGTTTAATTTGATTGTTTTCATTATTTTGAGTCATTTTAAGTGTGTTTCGAGTTATTAGAGTTTTTAGCCTAGTTTTGTGTCCTTGAGTCTTATTTAATATTTTTAAATTAATTTAGAATAGATTAGCAATCCCTCCTAATCCCCGGCCTAGAACGATACCCTACTTACATCCATACTACAATTGTCAAAAAGAGGGTTTAATTTGTGTGTCAAGAAATTCTCACATCATATACATATAGATAAACCATGATGCAATCTAATACTCAACCATGTTATAGCATTTTCAATCATATACATACATATATATATACATACATATATATATATATACATACATATATATAATGGCATAAAAATGCATAAGCTGTAATGCCTTACTCCTGACCTATTTATTTTCGGGAATAATTATCGGTGATAAGCCCAACTAGACACTAGTTTAATTAAATATCATTAATTACGTTTCCGTACTTCAAATTCTTGATTCTTTACACATTGATTGATGACTAACATTTAACCACTAATTCATAAGGTTAAATCTCACATTTTCCACCAATGTCCCTCACATTACTCAATCCACTAAACAAGGCTATTGTCTCAATTATTTAGTCTCATTTATTGTATGGCTGCATCTTATGTCTCGTTCGACTACCTACGTACCCTAAATAAGGATCAAGCCATTCGTAGTTCACAATAATTACTTCAAAACATGCATAGTAATCGTAAGCAATAATCAATTTATAAACGTTTATGGAATTATCAATTATATATATATATATATATACATATATATATATATATATATAATCTACGATAGAAAGGAAAAGTCTCACTCACCTGGAGTTTATGCTACAACTTCCTAGCATACACATAGAGGCGTCACGAATGATCGGCACCTGTGACCAAGGCCAATTTGGCCGAGAAACACCTCAATTTTACATAAATCAGTCGGAAACCCTAAAGAGGGTGTGTTTCGATTCGACCTCCATGCTCACTCCGACGCCTCCACAAGTGTTTGGGCTTTGTTCCTAAGGTTGAGGGGAGTCTATGGGTGGTGGTAATTGGTTGGGTTAGCTTCAATTTTTACGGATTGTTGTCATACACCCACACGGCCCACCGTCGGTTTTTCCTTCAAAATACCACCAAATTCTTCTAATTTTTGGATGAAAATGGAAGGGAGAGGGTTAGGGTGGTACTTCCAGGTAGTGATTCAACACAATTCACAAGGAATTGGCCGGAAAATGCACGGATTTGGCCTTGATACTCGGCCGGGTCGCACAGGTCAAGGAGAAGACCCGATTTCTCTCTCCTTCTCACCTTCCCTCCTTTCCCTCCTTTCTCTTCTCTCTGGTTGGTCAGTCTCCTTTCTTCATCTCCCCTGATTGGGCAGCAGCCCTTCTTTCTGCTCTCTCCCGTTCCCCCCTTCTTCTTTCTCTTCTTCTTTTTTTTCCCTCAATTCTTACCAAAGTTACTCTTAAAATAATGTAATGGTACTTAAAAAAAATATAAAATAATAAATGGTAATATCAATACCCCAATCTGCTTCTACTTGCGTCTACTCGGCCGTATTGTCGAGTACTACAGAAATACGCTAAAGGAATATTTCATACATCTCACTATACGTTGGTCAACGTAAGTCAATACCCTCGCCTCTCAGGGCATTTTCGTAACACCTTTAAAATTTATAAAATTCTAGAACTAGGGACGGGTTGTCACATTAAATGGTTCACTTCGGCTTGTTCGTTAGTGATTTGGAAGCATACCTTTAGGGAAGCAAATTTTCTAGAGGATGCCTTTGCTAAGTAGGGGCTTATTAGTAGCAATAGTCATTACTGGGAGTATTGTATTCCTAATTTTGCTCATTCTGCCTTCTTATTCAACTCTTTAGGCAGTGATTGTAAGCATGATTTCTCGTTCTAAGGCATATTTTTCCGATAAAAAAAATTAATTTCTTAAAATATATTAATAATCACGTGAGTACATTTTTTTTTTGGCTAGAACTATGTGAACAATATTACTTTATAATTAATTTTTAGGTAATTACTATAAAAAAATTATTGGAATTTGTTTAAATTTCATCATTATGGGATATTGAATGCATAAATGCAGGAGTTAAATACCTTAAATGATTCTAGTGACCTCAATCAAACTGTTTAAACAGACAAAGTTTTATTCTAACATTTAAGTTGACTAAGGACTGGATTCAACATGATGTGTGAATTTTAAAAAAGGAAAACTAATAAAAAAGGCTTGAAAACTTTGAGTTTTAACGATAATGACAAAATAAAGGGTAAAGTGAATAGTACCAGGATTGACCTTTTAGTGTAAAAATGTGATTTTTTGTTAAAGTGAATAGTACCATGGCTTTTCGTTAAAGTTCTGTTTTAAAAATCACCACCTTTTTTTTTTTTAAATCTACACTAAGGGAGTGAGAAGTGGGCTAAATCTCACAATGAACTAGTAATAATGTGGTTCAAATTCGTCTTTGGCGAGAATCGAACATAAAACCTCCTACTTATAAGTGAACAGAAATACCACTAAATCGTAGCACTAATTGATAATATTACTCTTGAATTCTTGTTTCTACACAAGCGGCATTGGATAAGAAGGGAATTACATACAACAATTAAGGTCCAAAATAAATGTTCTTAGCCACTTGATTAAGATAAAAGCCCTTTTTATGTTATTTTATTTTATTTATGTATTGCTTTGTTTTGTTATCATTCAAGTCTAAAATGACAAACACAAGGACTTCCCTAAACAAGAAGAAAAATTGGAACATCATTTTCCGCCTGTGATTTTTATTGTTATCAATACTTGTCCTTGTACATTTGTGTACTAGATTTTTATATGATTGCCGACCGGATCCAAAGGATAACACTCTTATAATCTAAATAACATCATCCATGAGATCATGCATCATATGCGCATAAGCAACTGACTATGGCACAACACTAAACCCCGTAAATTCATTATTTTGCTCGAAAGGTCTTCTAGCCCAGGTCTTTGGGGCCTAGTCTGGTTTATTACGGGGTTTTTTTCTTCGTTTTTCGCTATTTTCCTCCTGAGAGAACCAAGTTTCATGGTTTTTGCAAGTACACAAATGGTCACAAGTTCTGGCAAATATGATCCGGAGGCCACAAGTTCTGGTATAAAAAGAAACGAAGCCACCTAACGTTCAATATACAGACCCTGACCTGGCCTATTAGGCAAATCTAGCCAACAATATATCTGAAAATAACTAGTTTCTTAGTCTAACGACAGATTACCAGTGATCATATACAACGTGCAGGATGAAAGGAAAACCCGAAAAAGAAAAAAAATAGTGAAAAGCACCAGCAGGAAAATTACCAATTCTAGCTTGAGCAGCATCCAATTCTCTTGAAAACAGAACCATCATCTTTGACATTTATGGTCTGTCCTTTAGATGGAACAGCAGAAGCGCTTCCATTGTTGCCTGCCTCGACTGCCCTCTTGCTTACCACCCGGTATATTTGAGTCAAGACTTCGGTAAATGCACTGTCTACGTTGGTTGCTTCCAACGCAGAAGTTTCCATGAAGTAGAGGGACTCTCTTTCGGCAAAAGATTTACCATCCTCTGTTGAGACAGCCACCAGATGGCGAAGATCTGATTTGTTGCCAATGAGCATCACTACAATGTTGGGGTCCGTATGGTCCCTCAGTTCCTTCAACCACCTTGCTACATTCTCAAATGTGGCATGCCGAGTGACATCATACACTAACAAAGCACCAATAGCCCCTCGGTAGTATGCGCTTGTAATGGCACGGTACCTATAACAATGAGGAATTTAGTGGAAACTACGTAATTTAGAACTAAACAGCAATTTTACAACTTCAAATGTAGCTAAGGGACCATTTGACCCCGCAATGGATGTAATTTCCGCTTGAACATCACGCCCAATGTGAGGGAGATTCAGACCAAGGCAATATATATGCAATTACCACTTTTACCCCAAATATAACTCCAAATATTACAGCTCTTTTTTTGGTCAAGAACTATTTACAGCTATGCAAGCAGAACGAGAATTGGGATGAAAAATCAGGTTTTTTATAGATACCATACCAAAACAAGATCATGAAATGGTGAAAATAAAATGCCCTGATGACAGTTAGCTTCCTGAAAAGGGAAACAACAATGCACATAGTATTAGAGACCTCTATGGTCTAGCAACCGCTACAGTAACTCGCAGTAATCAGTGTAGCATATACCGAACGATGGAATACACAAAACACTCCAATCCTGAGCAGTATCAATATTTAGATTAGCCAGCTGATTTATCTTTCCCTCATTGGACCTTGTGAGCCATAATGTGTATACATATGACATGAAACTAATCGGTAACTTTCGCATTTTCAGCAAAACTTTATGAAAGTCAAAAGCAGTTGCAAACGATACTTGGGCAAACACTTCTTGTACCACGACAATTAACTCATATGTCAGAAGTCTGGTCATAACAAAAGCCAGAAACACAGTGAGCTCAAAACCAATTAGTTTTCACAAAGCAAACATGTCATAAGCCAAAGATTGTTTCCATGAAATTAGGCAAAAATAATTACCCATCAAGGCACTGCAGAGTTGCATTACAATTCAACAAAACTCAAAACTGAAAATTTTCAAATTCCTTTTATTTTCCTCTGAGGATTGGTTTGTAGGCAATATTCTATCCAAATATGGTTCAAGCATGCCTCTTCTGTGGTGAGGCGATGGAAGATATTGACCATTTTTCAAATAGTATCTTTTCGTGAGAGGTCTCAGGATGTGTTGACATGGCCTGCCCAAACACCCTAAACACAAACTTACCTTTTTCTTGATTGGGTTCTACATAGAAAGAACAAGCAACAAGAAGCAGGAAATGACTATTAATTTGTCGGAAAAACTGTTGGTGTGTAAGCAGCTATGGGAAATATGCAATGATACTGTTGCTAATAATTGTCTTGCAACTTCACCATAAGATACAACACCACACAATACAGAAAAACCAAACACATCTCCTCCCCAAGGCCGGCCCAGAGTTTTTTGGTGCCTGGGGTGAACGCTAAAAATGTGCCTTTTTCAATACGAAAACATATATTTAAAAATATTCAATGAGGTTTGGAACCCAGTCGAAGCTGAGTGGGCTAGGCCCTCAAGCCCATGAGGGTGTTTTGCTCTACATCACCAACATTTTCCTCTACATCAATATGGTCATCACTAACATCTTAATTCTTCACCAACATCACTTTCTATAAAATTTTCAACAGACTCATTCTTTTTAGAAAAAAATTTATTAAGAGATTCTCTTAAACTTTCAGCAATTACCTGATAAGAAACCAAGCTAGCAAACCATGAAATCAATTTTTTTTTTTAACAGACCTAGATACTATATATCTTCTACTCCAAACAAATTTGGTGCCCCAATCAGATTTGCGCCCCAGACAGGCACACTATGAGCACAGGGCCAGGGCCGAGCCTGCTCCTCCCACAAAGGGGATCATGGCAACCCCTCAAGGAGTACTTAAATGAACACAATTCGGATTCTCCAGTTTAGAATAGCAATCAAGCCATGTCTCACGACCTAGAATAGAAAACTGTCCCAATCGCAGAATGTAAATCCTTGAAGGAGGGATTTCAATGCAAAGTGAAACAAGTTTGGAAGAAGATGCAAACAGACAGCCACTCCAAGCACGACCAAAACAAATATGCTTAGAGGCTGAGAGTGGTCAAGAAAGGTAACCACTTCACATCATCACCCACACAGATCAAATAGAACTTCAACATGTCATCAAAAAGGCAAATCTGGTGGCAGATACACTTGCTAATTCAGGTCTTACAACAGGTTTCAAGAACTGGAAATAGAACCAGATTCAATCTTGTAGATGGTGGCCACTATTTGATAGGGTTGTTCTTTCTCCTTTAATATCAAGATTATGATGGTGATACATCAATATCAGCCTAGGTTCTTTCTCCCCTCCTTTCAGAGTCTTCCTCCCTGATCACCTTATCAAATTTCACTCACCCTAGGACTTAATATTTTCCAACCACCAAGTAGGCCAATCAAAGCTTTCAAGACTAGTTTGACAACCAACTACGTAGCATACTGGAGACAAGTAAATGCTTCAATCATATTCAAGAAATGGGATCAACTGATTAATCACAAGACAAAATGAATAAATGAAAAAACTTCATATGTTGCCAATAAGCTATGATAAAAGATAAAAAGTAGAATTGTTTCTGTTAGACATACACTTTGACAACAACAGAAATTACTGTTAGTCTCAATTTTCCTCGTAAGAAATGGCACAATTATGAAACATGTCTCACAGCTTCCTACGTTAAGAAAATTATATAGTCAACTGTCATTTTCTGATTCCCATATATACATTCAGAACATGTTGAGACTTCACGCTCCTATGGGTCTAAAGAATGCATGCTTGTCTCATTTTTTAGTATAGGATGCAGCTCTTTATTATTCATCTGGTAACCAATTGCATACTATTTACTTCACATCCTAATATATCTCACTACTAAACATGCTGCCAGCTGCTTTTCGGTGCCTTACACCTATAACATGTCCACTAAGACATATTATAGTGCTTTGCATAGGACTCGTAGTAATTTGCCTAACAAACACTTATCAGGGTGCACATGGCATGGAAATTTACTATCTAATACATTTTCAAAGAGTAAGATAACATCACCAGAAATCTCAGTTTCTCTCCAGTTAATAGCCTTGGAAGGATTAAAGAACACAATCTAATATCCTAAGAAATCTCAGTTTCTCTCCAGTTCATAGCCTTCGAAGGATTAAAGAACACAATCTAACATCCTAAGTTGCTGCTGCTGTCTTCTTCTTCAATGTACAGAAGAGACAGCATTGACATATCAAGGACAGATGGGGAGGATGCGGACTTGTGTTCTAGAAACTTAAGAATATTGAAAGCACAGTAAACAATAAGTTAGATGTCATCCTAATTCCTAATCAGTTGCATGGTAAAGATTTACTGATCTATCCTATAATCAGAAAACCAATTGCTTGAACCATTACGCAACTTAATGCCATATAAATTGTCCAAATATTATGACGCATATTGCTTTAATATTAACAGAAGAAGAAACTATATAAACCAGTTCTGAATGATTGCAACTGTTTGCCAGGCTTCACGAAATTGGCCATAAATTACACCGGAATTTCAACACATTTATGCATGACTAAGTGAAATATAATCATTAATTGTATTTGTATGTTAAAGTATCTATAAGAAATGTAAAGTGCAACATGAAGATACGAAATTCAAAACTCCCAGATAGTAGATACTAAAACCCCACTAACAAAAGAGGAATGAAGACAACAGACAGGCAGAAACAAAACTAAAGGCAGTAGGAGATGTAGCTAACCGTATAGGAGGCTATTCGCAACTATATGATTAGAGCAAGCACCATTTCAAATCATAAGCACGTTTAGTATCAAGTTCTTCACTTTCATATAACAGAATATCTTCCTCAAACAATTATATATACAAGTATCAAACTATCCTTTCCCCAAGAACAATAGGACTGCAATAATCCGCGTATGCAAAACTCCACGAAACTACAGGTAAAAAGAGTAAATTGTAGCTATGGTCCCTTAACTTTAACTCAATTGGAGCAATGGTCCCTTAACTAAAAATCCATTACCATTGGTCCCTCAACTCATCAAAACGTGCAGCTATGGTCCCTCAACTAAAAATCCTTTACCATTGGTCCCTCAACTTTAATTCAACTGGAGAAATGGTCCCTTAACTTTAACCCAATTGTAGCATTGGTCCTTCCAACATAACTTGTTTTGACAAAAATTTTGACATAGTTGATGAAAGGACCATAATTACACTTTGATGAGTTGAGGGACCCTAATTATATAAATGGTTATTCCAACATAACTTATTTTGACAAAATTGATGAAAATGACTATAGCTACGCATTTTGATAAGTTGAGGGACCAATGATAATGGATTTTTAGTTGAGGAACCATTGCTCCAATTTCATTAAAATTGAGGGACCATCGCTACAATTTACTCAGGTAAAAATTCAAAATAAATGTCTAATACTTAGGGAGACAGAGAAAAACACCATAACCCCATGAAATTTCTGAAAAAAAAAAAAAAAAACTCTTTTGACAAAACCGAGTTTCGGGTTTCTCTTGTTCACCTCAGATATCAATACCCTCATACAAAATAATCTGTCAAGTCTTCACAAATAAATAATCCGAAGAAACTGAAAGAGTAACCCAACCAACTACTGAGCATGCAATACGATCAAACTCGAACCAAGATATTATATATCAAAATTTTCCCAAGTATATATAATCAGCAAAAAGTATCAAAACCCAAATCACAAAAACAAACAATATAGAGAATACTGAGAGGAAAAAAGGAAAAAAGAAAGAGGAGAAACAGTCACCTTTCTTGGCCAGCAGTGTCCCAAATCTGAGCTTTGATGAGCTTGGCATCAACAGTCAAAGTTTTAGTGGCAAATTCGACCCCGATAGTAGACTTGGACTCCAAATTAAACTCGTTCCTGGTGAACCTAGAAAGCAGGTTCGATTTTCCCACCCCAGAATCCCCAATCAATACCAGCTTGAACAAGTAATCATACTCGTCGTCACCTTTGTATCCCGCCATCTAATGATTCAATATCAAATATTCAAATCAATACATAATATATATATACATATGTATGTATACTTCTTCTTGCCTCTTGAGAGAGAGAAGAGACAGCTTTTTTCTTGGTTTGGTCTAACAAGCGTTGAAGATTGGCATCATCGGGGATATGGTGGTCTTTAAATAATTTTTTTATTTTTAAGAAAGACAAAGATTTGGGTTTATAACTCTCAAGAGTTTTCACTTTACTGGCAGCCTAAGAAATTTAAAGGTAAATGCATATCAAATTTTTTAAATCAAATGATATGTCACTAATAAGAAGTAATCATGTTAATTCATATTTAATTAATAATTTAATCATCTACAATCACATTATTTAATTTTCAAATTTGGTTAAAAAAAAATTGGATAAATTACATTTTACCCCCTCAAGTTTGAGTACAATTGCAATACATTACAACATCTTTAAAATATTTCAATTTCATACATTTACTTATAATTTTATTTCAATTTCATACATCTATTAGAAAATTAGTTAAGTAAACCTTTAAGTGATGATGTGGCAAATATGGGATCCACATTTGTGCTAATATGGTTGCCAACTTTGTGGATTTAAAATATAATAATTTACCCTATTATTTAAAGAAACAAAACAAAACCAAACCCCATCTTCCTTCCCGACCCCTTCCCCTTCCCCACAACCCAAACCCCCCATCCCACCCCACCCCATCCTCCCCCGCAACCCCCCACCCCAAATTGAAAAAGGAATCTGGGCAATCACCCTCTTTCTCCTCTCCCTTTACCTCACCTCCCACCACTACTCCCGGGCCTAGAATGCCCAACTCAAGCCAGCCGTTGTCGTCCACATGGTTCCCCAAGGTCCAATTTATCCCCAAGTTCTCCGAACCATATCCACCACTTTGACGGTTTTCAAGTGGAGCGAGTCGCCATGGCCTGTAGTAATCTTTCCTCTCTCACCTTCATTCTTCACATTCTCGGTGACTAAGTTCATCGTCGGAGTCACGGTATCACAATCCACAAATCTCTAGATATGGTTAGGGTTTGAGCCTCGATGGAGTTTCCATGGGCCAAGTCATTCAACGAGCTGGATTTTAGGAAGAAGGTGGAGGTGAAGAGAGTGAAAAAGAGGGAGAAGGTGGAGAAGGTGGGTCGGGAAGGTGAAGAGGGAGGAGTGGGTTTTGGGGGAGAGAGAAGGAAGGGGTCGAGGAAGGAAGATGGGTTTTTTTATTATTATTATTTTTTTTTTATTTAACAATAGGGTAAATTATTATATTTTAAATGCATAAAAAATTATTTTTTTGCCATGTGGCAAAAAGTTGGTAGCCACATCAGCACAAATATGGATCCCATATTTACCATGTCATCATTTAACGGTTTACTTAATGGATTTTCTAATGGATGTATGAAATTGAAATGTTTTAAAGTTGTTGTAAGGTATTGCAATTGCACTCAAACTTGAGGGAGTAAAATGTAATTTACCCAAAAAAATTTGATCTCCATAGCATTACTCAAAAAAAAAAAAATTGAACAAATGATATTAACTATACTAAGTGGAGGGGTGGCTTAACCTCACAATGAGCTTGCAATAATTGGTTCAAATTTGCATTTGGCAATAATTAAACCTAACATATCTAATTTACAAATGAAAGAAATAATTCTAGATCATAATACTAAACAGCAGCATTATCCAAATTTAAATTCAAAGGCAAAAGTAAAGTAAAAGGTTTTTGGACAGTTTTGAAATGGAAAAGAAAAGAAGATAGGGTTCCCCGAAATGTAGGAAGTGAATAAAAGGCCAAAGATATATGACAGGCTCGAATTGGCCGATGTCAAAATCAAAGTGTCGCAGGCAGTCCATAGTTGAGTTCAATTTTTCTACGTCTTCCCCTCTTTCTCATGATTGACCTCGTGATTAGCAACTTGATTATTTTTTATTAGTGGCACATAAAATTTAAATTTTGTTTTAAAAATTTGGTGTTCTTAATATTATTTTCTATTCTATTTTTTTGTTAACACCAAGTCCAAGGTGAAAAATTAAAGGACAATTTTTTCTGTCATAACACTAACAATGAACATCATTTTCAAATTCTCCGCTATGAACGACCTCAACAATCACCAACTCCACTAAAACTTGCAGTTTCGACCTCAGCAATCATCAATAATGAAATATCCATCATTATGATTTCCAATAGAATAAAGCTTTTCTAGATAAGATCATTCCGGCGCAAAAATTTAAGTGGATTCAAACATCATTTTTGAAGAAGAATGTAATTAACGACGTATTTTGTGCTTATGATTTCCAACAAGATAGGTTTTGTTTTCAGATTTGAACACCTAGATACTTACATTCGAGCATCATTTCTTATATAGAATGGGCAATTTGAACTTGAGACTGGTGTTGATATTCAGAATAAAAACGTATCATTAGACTAAGAGCTAATTATTAATATGGACTAGAATACAAAGGTTGAGCAACTCTAAAAACGTATACGATTATAAGGTTTATATTCGGGCGCACTGCACCAACACCACTACTTTTAACTCCCTATGGACGCAGTTGAAGTACCAATGGGATGTACATGTTTCGCCTTGAGTTGTATATCATACATTCATTTGGTGGGTTGGATGAGATTGGATCTTAGGTATATGATTGGATTGGTAAGGACTTATAAACAGGACTTGTAAACCATGTATAAAGATATGTTAGATAACCTACTATATTGTGGATTCACAACCTATCATGTCCAATCATGTCCATCTCACATTTTGACACAACAAATAACTAACTAGACTCAAGTCCATTTTAATTTTTTTATTTTTTTTAAAAGGGGGACAACTAGTAGCAAGCCACCGTTATCCGCCCCTTCCGGGGGCTGGAAAAACTCACAGAAGCATTTCAACCTCTCTCTGGCCATAAGTTTGGCTTCCACACCAGCAGTGTGTTTTGAACCCGAGATCTCTAGTTTTTAATTTGAAGAAAGCCTCGCAATCCGTCATTTACCATTGGGCCACCAATCCATTTTAATTGGTCACAACTTATCTCATCCAGCCCACCAAATATGACATATTGTCTTGTGGTTTAACACATATAACATTGTTATACTAGTATAATATTAGGGTAAAAGACTGTTTACTACCCTCAAGTTTCGTGGTTTTCAACATTTAGTACATCCATTTTTTTTCATCCCAGAGTCATACCTAAAGTGTTAGTTTTGGGACAGTCTCATACATCCATTAAGTTTTTTGTTAGAACTTCTGTTAACTGATGATGTGGCACCCACATGGACAATTATTGGGCGCCACAAGTCAATTTGGGCCCACTTCAATATTAAAAAATTTTAAAAATTAAAAAGAAAAAAAAAAGAACAAACATCTGTCTCCTCCCTCATCCCTCGCACCCTCTCCCTCCTTTCTCTCTTCTGCAACCCGCACCCCTTCCCTCCATTCTCTTTTCTGCACTTGCACCACCCTCCCTTCTCTCTTCTACAACCCGTACCCATCATCTCCGCACACCCAACCCAACAAAATCTCACCCAAAGAAATTCTATTTCAACAAGCATTTGGTATTTTCAAGTATGAATCTTCTCTTTGTGAACCCAGAAGAAAAACCCAGAAAAAAGCCTCTATCACGACCCCTATTCCACGAAAAGAGAAGAAGTTAAATTAGAATCGTTCTTCAATCCGTCTTACTCACCTTTCTCTCGCTACTCAATCTCTCTACATCTATCACAATTCTCAAATAACGCAACAAGAAGTTTAATTAATTCAAATTAGGAAACAAGTGACTTCCATCTTCAGGAAAAGCTGAAAAGTGTGGATTGAGGTTTCAATAATCTTGACGAGATCTGGGGCATAAACCATTAAATCAAATTCTTCCTCCTCTGGGTCATTTCGAATTGGACCATAAAATGCAAACTCGAAGTGGGTGGAGGAGACCCAAATCCTCCCAATTTTCCAGAAAACTATAAAGTTAAAAGAAAAAAAATATTCAGATCAACTAATATTGGGTTTCTTTTGTGAACCCAGAAAAATTGGGGTCTCTTTCGAGATGAAAATAAAACGGAAATAGAAAAGGAAAATCAAAAGGAAAAAGGAAGAAAAAGGGAAGAAGATGAGACGGGAGGGCAGAGAAGAAGCGGTGGGTCCAGGATCTGGACGTAGAGGACGAGATAGCTCGTAGCAGCAGTCCAAGATAGACTGCGTCATCAACCGAATCTGGTAGGACGGTTTGGTGGGTTCGTGCAGAGGAGAGAATGGAGGGAGAAGAAATGAGGGAGTAAGGGACGGACAGACAGGCTGCGTCATCAACTGGATCTGGTAAGACGATTTGAATTCTGATTTCGAAAAATCCGGCTAGTTGCACTCGTCCCACCATGCTTTCGACTTGTCCTTGACCCACAGCCGCCGATGGTGACCTGATTTGACTTTTGGCTTACCTATTTTGACTCCATCAGCTACTGCCAACATCGCCGCACAGGCGGCGCTTCTCGATTTTCTCCGCTTCATCGTTTCAGATTCTTCCACCTCCGAGTAGCACTCCTGCAAATCATAGTAGTAATCGAAAATGGCCTCGTTCCTCTCCTTATGCGTCCCTTCTATTAACGATGCGTCGTCATTCGGTGCCATGTCGCGGTCGAGCTCATCCTGCTTCACCTGCTCTTTGAGCAACAACAAGGAGGCGAGGTCTTCAGCTGCTGGAGGAAGATATAGATGGTGATTTACAGACGACAGCCATAACAAGGAAATTGAGGAAGCAGGGATAGAGGGTGTCGGGTGGGGAAGACAATGGGGTTCTGGGGATGAAGGGATGTCGAGTGGGGGTGAGGAAGACGAAGGGGTTCTGGGTTTTATTTTGTTTGTTTGTTTTTTTTTTTTTGAATTTTTTTTAATAATTAATTTTGAATTTTTTTAATTTTTAATTTCCACGTGGATCCCTAGTCATTGTCTACATAGGCACCACGTCATCAGTTAACGGCAGACTTAACAGTTTGACTAACGGATGTATGAGACTGTCCCAAAATTAACACTTTAGGTATGACTCTGGGACGAAAAAAACTTTATGTACTAAATGTTGAAAACCACGAAACATGAGGGTAGTAAACAGTATTTTATCCATAATATTAACAATAATTGTATTTGAGAACTCGAATGCAAAGACGAATACTTTTAAATTACAAACTGTTTGATTATGTTCTTACAGAGGATCCATTCGTAAACCATGCAGCCCATTAAAATCCTGCTGGACCGGCCGACCAAGGGCCCAAACCTACGAACATTTCTTTCTCACACAAATGGTGCAGATTTATCTAAACGAAGAAACAACAATGACGTTGATGGATACTACCAATCATATTACTTTAAGGGAACTTTAATAGGTAATTTGTGTAAGCTTGCAAAATATTTTTAATACTATGGTTGGATCAATTAACATTTTGGCGATTCTAATAGAGGTCAGTAAGGAGAAATTTTAGTAAACGTACTTGACCTTTCTTGGATAAATATATGTAAAGAGCTCAGTATTTTCTAATCTGTTGAATTATTCAAGAGGTACAATTTGCAACTAAGGATAACTAAGATTGCCTTCATTAGGCTTTGCATTTTATATCAATTGATTGCTAGGTTGTGTAAAATTCATGGGGTTGTTGAACAACGTTCACATGAACAACATACATAAACATGTGGAACTAGGATTTTGTCAGAGACTCAAAGGGGAGGGGAAGTAAAGGAAAAAAAACAGGGAAAAAGAGAGGCGTTGATTACTGATTTGATGAAGGTCTTTAGTGGGATAGTTAAATCTATTTATGTAGGGAGTAGGAGTGTGAACAAATAATACTCTTGGCCTAGTTAGTTGTTTAGATAGAGATCGTCCACTTTATCATGTCCAAGTAATCCGCCATTAGCAATCACTAAGAACGGTTGTTGGTAGAGGACATCGCCTAAAACGCTCTACTAATGGTAGGTTGGTAAGTTGCGAGCTTACTTATTCGACAATCTGAATGATGTTTCAATGAAGTTCAATTCAGAATTTCGATCTTCTTACAACAACTTCACTAGCTAAGCATAATGGTGATTGAGATGATGGTGAACTAAATTGACTTGAATTAAAATTTTAAGGGCAAAGAAGACCATAAAATCTTCTCAAAGCTATGCATGGATTGTTCCAAATAAGAAATTTTATTGGATTGTTCTTGCTTTTGGAAAAGAAATCATAGGCTTTTGGCAACTATTTCTTGTCCCACATCGATGGGTTGTGGAGTTGTCAGGCAGTGAAGGCATATAAAACGAAGCCAAAATAATGTGATGAAGCATCTTTGCGCTTGGGGCAATGACGTAGCTAATGAGGTTCTAACCGAGGCGCGTCTATTGCTGGTTGAAAACTATTTCCAAACCCCCTCTTAGGCCTTGGTTTAACCTTGTGCCTTCGAGAATTTCTGGAAGGGTTCTCTTTTCGGAGTAGTCCCTACAAATTCTAGTTCTAATTTTTTGTTATATTATGGTTGGGTCTATATGAATAGAGATACTATGAATTGGTCGGTTTTGTGCGTACAAGTGTAAATTTTTGTTATATTCTGGTGGGTTCTATTCATATAGAAATACAAGTGTACTGCTAAAAGCTAAGAAGAATAATTTGTCGTGATGCCTTTTTTTGGTTGGCCAGATTAAATAGGATACATGCAATTAAATTTAACATGAATTACGTCTGTTGTTTGGTAGAGTTAAGTATTCCATGAATTTGATATGGGTCTGGGATTTTGAAACTCAATCGTATACATGATTTCCATGCCATACCCAAAACCCAAACCAATGCAGTCCAAATCGTGCCACCATTCAGTGCACTTTACAATACAATCAGATGTTTTTATTTGACATTGTTAACGTTCAAAAATTACGGGTCAAACTCAGAAGGTTGTGTGTTGATGCACACATATTCTAAGGGTAACATAGATGATATAATAAAAAATACTAGTAAGATGAACACAAAAATATATTGGTTCGCCATAAACAGGGCTACAACATTGTAGCCTGTTTATGTATTTGTAGAATTTGAGATTACAATTTGTACATAGAATTGGCTCAAAGCCCTCAGTCGGCATGGTGAAGCCGAAGAGGAGTATGCTCCCTGCACCCTAACAAGCCTCTCTTTCTTCTCTAATCTCTCTCTTCATGATATAGGCAAAAAAGCCCACCTTCCTAAGGAAGGTCAAATAAGTGCATCCTGGTCCGGTGGTCTGATTAGAGTACACTTCTTTAGTGGCCTCAGCAGAGCATCCTGGTCTGCCAAGCATTGTGTGCCTAGCACTTTCGCCTAACACTGCACGCCTAGCACTTCTTCGCCTAATTCTGCCAAAGATTTGTCTCCTCTTAACTCCTGGGGTCTTTGTATTGCAATCACAATTTGAGATACATAAATTTGTGGCACCGACCCATGGCATGCATCATACAAATTTAAAAGCGTACAAACAAAAAGCTAGGGCAAAGTTTTAGTAATTGCATGGATGAGGAATCGCATAAAAACATAAAAGTTTAACATATATGGTAATTATTTAGTTGACCTTTCAATTTAACCAAAATCCATTAGTACCAAGATTAAAATTCCGTTAGGTGGAAAAGTGTTTGTCATCAATGTTATAATATCGTTTTTCTTCAAGAAGTGTTGAATTATGTAATCTCAGTTTTGCAGCTTTTTCACAAAGTAAACAGGTCTTTTAAAATAAAAAAATATATAAAAGAAGATTAAGTACCTAAAATCTCTCAATCTTTTAGTGTTTATTTAAACAAATACTCAACTTATTGAAAATGTCACATTTGTTAAACCTCAATTAAATGTTTGTTAAATAAATAAGACTTACTTTGTCTCCAAAATCAATAGAAAGTCATGGAAGCATAACCTCCATTGACTAACAGTCATCACCACCTCTATCAAGCCATCACCTCCAAACCCAATGCTCAACCACCAACTCTACGCTATAACTCAAGCCACCAACATTGTGAATAATGTTAAGGAGGTTATTGATTTGGTATGGACTGTCATGATGCGGCCACCACCATCTTCACTGTTCTCAAAGAAGAACTGAAAGCTTTACAAGCCGAGAATCAACAAATGAAGAAATCATATGAGCAAAAACAAGCTCCTTGAAATCCTACTTGAATTCTTAACCCTCTTTGTTAGGAGATTAAGCTCGTGATGTAATTTCAATTTGGGTCCATTTTAGTTTCAATTAGATACCCGTTTGATCATTATGTTTCATATAGTATGATCTATTTGAAATTAGTTTTTGAGACAATTAATATTAATATTGACCACAATATACCCAGTTGGTGAGTTATATATATATAAAGGTTGGGATGTGGTTCCGGTGGTCGTAAGTTGAGCTTGGAGGTGGCGGTGGCTTGTTATTTCCCGATCTTCAATTTTATTTTCTATTTTATTTGTGAATTTATTTATTTAATTTTTAATCTTTATGTCTTTTTAATTATTATTTTAGTATCCAACTATTATTATTATTATTATTTTAGTGTCTAAGTAAGTTAAAAAATTAGACCTATTATTGTTACCCGTACATCCAATGGAAAAATTAACGGGGCTTAAATTGTTTGGAAGAAAAAAAAAGTTGTGTAGATGTTAAAAAAGTTAAGATCAATTTAGAATGACATTAAAACGTTAATAGATTTTAACTTTTAAGTACTTACTAGACAAAAATCACTGCTGTCCCATATCTTGGTGAAGTCCAAGTTGCTGCTTTCAACATCAAAAGGGTGACACCCAATATGTAGAATCATTTCATTTTTCACAGCTCCCAATGGAGTCAAGCTGTCCCTGTCAAAGGTGGAAAGTGGAAACCCACGACAGCGACAGGGAGTAGCTTTAAGAAGTGGGGAGGAAGGCGGCGGCGGCGGAGGCAGGAGGCAGGAGGCAGGAGGCATGCAGTTGCAGCGGCGGAGGAAAAAAGATTGGGGAGTGAGAGTAGAGGAGAGAGAGGGTTCAAGATGCGCGAATAATTGAAAAACTCCCAAGTGGCAGCATCCCAGCTGTGAATCCCAGTCACCACTGAACTCGCGCCGCTGATTGGTCCGTCCGTACGCACCAAAGGCCGAGGCGGTTCAACGCGCTGAAACCCTTCCCGGGTCTCCCTACTCTCCTCGTCTCACGTGTCCAGTTCTCACAGCTCACGTGTTGAACGTGTGTCTAGTCGCCGCGTGATGCCAGCTGGCTGACCTTATCCAATTTTCTAACACAACTCTGATAAAATCACCCTGCACGCACACCACTCCGTCACCTTCATCGCGTGTTATTGGCTCGCCGCGTGAAATCCCACACTCTCATTGGCTGTCGTGTTGGGCTAGCGGGTGCTCGTATAATTCCTCGTGGATTTGTTCCACGTTTACATGAAGGGCAAGTTAATATTTTCATTAATTGTTTTGCCTTATTAATTTCTGAGATATATACAATTCTCTTAATAATATTCATTAGCCCTAATTATCCCAATACAATTCAGGAATGAAAATTGTAGATGTCAATCGAACACTATGAGATTATGTAAATTCAAAGCAAATCAAACCCCTTGTTCATATATACATTCAAACCCTCTACACACATATCGTTTTGGTTTTAATACTACATAGAGAGACAGAGGTCAGTTTTTCAATCTTCTTCTCCTGATCTCTTTTTTTTTTTATTTTTTATTTTTTTAATGATTAGGGTTTGTGAAGAATTGGGTTATCGTTTATGGACCCTTTTGGGATCTGGGTAGGCTTTAGATTTCATGTTCTTTGTGGTTTACTGCAATTTTGCCTCATTAATCTTGTTGGGGTCCTCTCTGTTTTTGCATTTCATTCGATTTTTGTAAAATGTGGATATGAATTCTGAATGTGGTATCTCAGTGTTTAGGTTTTGTGTTCTTTTGGGAGAAAAGTTGGGTGCTTGAGAAGAATCTGTGGTGTAACGTAACCCATTGAGAGGGAAAAAGAATCTTGGGGATTTTTTGCATCGTCGAGATTAGAATATATGTAGAGGAAACATTCTTGATTTGTCAGCAGATTCTCTTATTTTTGGAATGTGAATCGGTCTTCTTTCCGCTGTTAATTTAGTTGTGTGTTTGATTTTCACTGCATTGATTGGTTTGTAACTTTGTTTATTTCTTTTCTTTTATTGTACTTTTTATTGGAATTTATGTTGTACTGATGTGAAATGCAGATTGTCTGAGAAAAGAGTCTCGTGAGATTATCCATTTATAAACAGAGTTGGAAATAATGTCGCAGTCATACATAAATCTTTTGGATTTGGCATCAGGGAATTTCCCTACCATGGAGGGGAAAAGAAGACGGTTCCCAAGGGTGAACACAGCTCCTGGAAATTTGTCCGATCTTGACGATGATCAAGCTCGTAGTGTGTCGTCTGATCAACCTTCCTCAATTGCTTCCGATCGGGTGATCATTGTAGCTAACCAACTTCCTGTGAAAGCAAAGAGAAGGGAGGATAATAAAGGTTGGACTTTCAGTTGGAATGAGGATTCTTTGCTTTTGCAGCTTAAGGATGGACTGCCAGAAGACATGGAGGTTCTTTATGTTGGCTCGTTGAAGGTTTCCGTTGATCCTAAAGAGCAGGATGATGTGTCACAGGTCTTACTGGAGAGATTCAAATGTGTTCCGACTTTTCTACCCCCTGACATTCTGTCAAAATTCTATGATGGTTTCTGCAAGAGGCATTTATGGCCACTTTTTCATTACATGCTGCCGTTTTCAGCTGATCAAGGAGGCCGATTTGATCGGTCTTTGTGGAAGCTTACATATCAGCTAATAAGTTGTTTTTTCAAAGAGTGGTTGAGCTTATAAACCCGGATGAAGATTATATCTGGATTCATGATTACCATTTGATGGTGCTGCCAACTTTCCTGAGAAGGCGTTTTAATCGAGTTAGGATGGGCTTTTTCCTTCACAGTCCATTTCCCTCGTCTGAGATATATAGAACTCTTCCTGTAAGAGAAGAAATACTTAAGGCTTTACTCAATGCAGATATTATTGGGTTCCACACCTTTGATTATGCTCGTCATTTTCTGACATGTTGCAGTCGGATGTTGGGCTTGGTATATCAGTCAAAGAGGGGTTACTTAGGATTGGAATATTATGGAAGGAACATCAGGATCAAGATTATGCCAGTTGGGGTTCATATGGGTTGGATAGAATCGGTGATGAAGGTGGCGGATGACGAGAGTAGAGTGAGGGAACTTACACAACAGTTTGAAGGGAAAACAATGTTGCTTGGTATAGATGATATGGACATTTTTAAAGGAATTAATTTGAAAATTCTAGCAATGGAACAGATGCTGAAGCAACATCCAAATTGGCAGGGAAAGGCAGTGCTGGTCCAGATTCTAAACCCTGTGAGAGGTAAAGGGATAGATTTGGAGGAAATACGAGCAGAAATACAAGAAGGCTGCAGGCGGATCAATGCAGAATTTGGTCAACCAGGCTATGAGCCAATAATCATTATTGACAGGCCAGTTTCCATTAACGAGAAGATTTGCTATTACAACATTGCTGAGTGTGTCGTTGTGACAGCCGTTAGAGATGGGATGAACCTTACTCCATATGAATATGTAGTTTGCAGACAAGGAATATCTGGTTCTAATTCGTGTTCAAATTTCGGTGGTCCAAAGAAGAGCATGTTAGTGGTGTCAGAATTTATTGGATGTTCTCCATCACTCAGTGGGGCAATCCGTGTCAATCCATGGAATGTTGAAACAACTGGGGAGGCACTGAATGTGGCGATTTCAGTGCTTGATTCAGAGAAAGAACTGCGACATGAGAAGCATTATCGGTATGTTAGTACACACGATGTGGCTTATTGGTCGCGCAGTTTCTTGCAAGACATGCAGAGAGCTTGTGCAGACCATTTTAAGAGAAGATGTTGGGGAATTGGTTTTGGCTTTGGATTCAGAGTTGTGGCACTTGATCCTAATTTCAGAAAACTTTCAATTGATGCTATTGTTTCGGCTTACAGAGGGGCACAAAATAGGGCCATTCTGTTGGACTACGATGGTACTGTGATGCCCCAGAACTCAATTGACAAGTCCCCTAGTCAGAAGGTAATCTCAATTATGAACACACTTTGTGTGGACCCGAAAAACACAGTTTTCATTGTCACTGGCCGAGGGAGGGAGTGCTTAAGCAAGTGGTTTTCTCCCTGTCAGAGGATGGGAATTGCGGCTGAGCATGGTTACTTCTTAAGGTGTGCCTCTCTCTCTCTCTCTCTCTCTCTCTCTCTCGTCAAAACTATCTCAAATGTCAGTTAAGTTATAGCTTGTGTTTTTGCTAATGATGGGGAAACTGAAAGATAAATACACTGTGCTTAAAAAAAAAAACTTGAACGTTAATGGAGCTTTCACAACGATCAATATGCTACTTCTCAGATGGTCACAAAATCAGGAATGGGAAACCTGTCTTCAGGGTTTTGAGTTTGGCTGGATGAAGACTGTTGAACCCGTGATGCAATTGTATACGGAGGCTACTGATGGTTCTTCTATTGAAAGAAAGGAAAGTGCTTTGGTTTGGCAATATCGTGACGCAGACCCTGGTTTCGGGTCCTCCCAGGCAAAGGAGATGTTGGATCATCTAGAGAGTGTCTTGGCAAATGAACCTGTTGCTGTCAAGAACGGTCAGTTCATTGTAGAAGTAAAGCCTCAGGTATACGTGTATATAGATTCATCAATCTCTACTTCCGCTTTTCCCTTGCTTTTGCTTTCGTTTCAATCCAACATATATTTTGTTTGTTTCGTTCTTGTATGATTCTAGGGAGTTAGTAAAGGACATGTAGCAGAGAAGATTTTCTCATCAATGGCGGAAAATGGAAAACACGCAGACTTTGTGCTCTGTATTGGCGATGACAGATCCGATGAGGACATGTTTGAGATATTTGGTAACTCGATGCAGAAGAAAGTTCTCTCTCCAAATCCTTCGGTTTTTGCTTGCACGGTTGGGCAAAAGCCTAGCAAGGCTACATATTATTTGGACGATACAGCGGAAGTGACAAACATGCTTGAATCTCTTTCTGAAGCGTTTGAGTCTTTGCCACCCACTGAAGAAGGATACGAAAGCTCTCCGTGAAAGTTTCAATCAAATTCGTTTCGTTTCGTTTGTTTCAATAAGAAAGTTAATACTTTTTGAGACACAGGCATATAGATTAGGCAGGAGGGCATCTTACCATGTTTAGGATATCATGGGATAGTGTATGAAGTTGGTAGATTTTCCTATATTTTGCATGCTTCCCCCTTTCTTTGTACATAAGTTTCTCCTCAGACGGACTGTTGATGATAAAGTTGAAAGAAAATGGGAGCATAATGGTCAATCATCTTCCTCAAACTCTCAAATTAAGCTTTGAAAGTTTAGAGAATCAATTTTAAAATATTGCTCATTGAAGCTAAAAATAATTAAAAAATGCGGCCTCGCCCATCGTTTTAATTATGTTATGGTTAGTATGAGAGCTCAGTTACGCACATGGACAACACATATTGGATGACTATAACATTTAAGTCTTATAAGTGAATAACGAGACATTTTTCGAGGCGCCCTGCACACAAGACAGCTAGAGGTCCTCGCCTATTGCAATTTGACACCTAGAATATCATCTTTTTAAATGACACCATCCTTAAACTTATTTTTTAAAATATTAAAATTATATTATTCCTATACTAAAACCTAAACCTGCGTGCACTGTTCATGGACAGTGCGCAGACGAAAATGCCCTCCAAATATTTGTCTCAGAATGGTTTCTCTCGGCTTTTGTACAGTGAAAGGGTGGTTTTTCCCTTTCGATTCCACTCATCCGTCATTGCTCCATCTTCTGTTCGATCTTTTTCTTCCTCTTCTTAACTCTTCTACGTCATTCTGCTTTCTGTCATCCAAAAAATCAGATCTCCAAAGCTCTGCTTCCACTACAACTTTTACATTTTTCCTTCCGTCGCTCTCGAACTCCTGGCTATCACA